TATTTATAAAATTAGAAAACCTTTATAGGAAGGAACCCCAAGGGATATATAAGAAATAGTTGAATTTTTTGTTAGCTTTTATCTTATTAAAGACCCATGGTGTTTTATGCATAAACATATATATTTAAAGTATTACACATATATATATTTAATAATATGTTTAATATGTATGGTATATGTATACATATTTTATATATTTGAAATGTATGTTTTTAGTTAAATCTGCAGCTTTTATATAATGGAAAGCTGTTTTCCTAGGACAGGCATATAACCTCTTAAAATATATTTTCAGTACCTAGCACTAGAAATGAAAATACTTTAAAAAATATTGGGTATCATATTTAGCTATGTATATATAATTTATTTATTTCAAAAGTTGTAAACTTTTCCTTGTTTGATACAGAAAGTCTGAGTATGTCTTTAAAATCTTGCTGACTCAGGCTATTCCTTTATGCCAGGTGATTATGACTGATACAACTGGTTCAGCACCTCAATTAACACTTTAGTATAACTAACATCTCCTTTAGGCTGAATTCTGACCAGATGCTGAACTAGTATTTGACATAGCATATCTGTTTAAAGATATGAGAAAGATTGCACTGACTCACACTGATGGTTCACTTAGGCTAGCATTTAGGTTCTAAAATTGTTACTGAAGGGTCCCCACCAGTAAGATGGCAAACTTCCTGCTTCTCTTCGGGGTCCTCAGTTCCCGCCGGCGCCACCTGAAGCCCAATCACCTCTCGCCCCCCTCCCAATCCCAGCACCTAGCCAACAGCCACCAGCCCCGTAGAAGTGACACCTCAATCAATTCATGCCCCTTCCTATATAACCCAGCACCTTTCCCTAATAAAGCGGAACTCTCGGTGAATTGCTGCTATGTGTCGCTCCTTTCCTTTCAGTTACCTTATTTTTTCTCCTTAACATCAATAGGTGAGTCTGCTTCCCCCAAAAATAAACATTCAAGCTTCCTTTGTACCACTCATACACTATTTGTCTAACCACTTCTTGAACATAAATATAAACTAGAACTAGTTGAGAAGGATTGGAGAAGAACAGATAATTGATCTCAGGCATACTGGTAAAGGAATAATTCATAGTCTCTATGGCTCTGCATGATAGAACCAGGAACGAAGATGAAAGAAGCAGAGATGGAGAGTTCAGTTTGCCATAGGGAAGGTTTCTAGAGACACTGAAATCTGACTGAAAATATTTAGTGGATGGTTAATGAGAGGAAATTATAATTCAATAAGCATTAATTTAAAGAGAATTAGATGTTAGATGGTTGGATGAGGACAGTGGTTGCCAAGTGGAGAGAAGGGGCTTAAGGAAAAATAGTGTAACTATGGTTCAGAAACTGTTTGTTGAGGTTGTTTTGAAATTCCTGATCCCTCTTTTCCAACCAATTATGGACCATTTCTATTTTTCTTAGAAAGAAAATTTTCTCTTTTTCTTAGAATTATTTTATTTTATGATATGAAGTAATGCATTACATTAATTTAAAAATTGTTGCTTTTTCTTTTTCTTATATTTAGTTCAGGATTAAGGTTTTAACAAAAATATTTGGGGTTTTGTGTAAAAGGAAAAATCGAACCTGTTCTCAAACTCTGAAACCACTGTAACTGTGCCCAAATGTAACTTTTTAAAGTTAAAGGTGCTCAGTTAGATCCACCCCCAAGTCTTTGTCATCGCAACACAAAGTCACAGTTTTTCAGGTGTATCCATGTGGAAATAGGCATTATAAATAGGCATCATTATAACTTTAGGATGAGTCCTTAAGTTTTAAAATTCTTTATAACCCTAATAAAATTTCACTTCCCTTCTAGTACAAAAAATGGAAGTTTTCAAGTTAGGGCACATGAAGTGAATCCTTTATAATAAACTGGTGAGAAGTCTCTAGCTGACCAAGGCAAATACTAAGAGAATCATTTTTTAAACAAATGTTTAATAATGACATTTGTATTCTGCTATTTTAGTCTCCCATAAAGAAAATCAAACTGGCCTTTTAAATTAAAGTCTAAAGTAATTAACACTGTTTAATAGAATTAAACAAACAAAAAAACCCTTGAAAATGAATTTAAAATAAAGAAAACATTCTTTTTTATTTGCAACATGAGTTCTGAATTAATCCCATATTATGAATACTGAGTTTTATTAGTATAATTCTTCTTTAAAGATTTATCATCCATTAAAAAGCATTATAGTCTTAACATTCATCACTGGTTATTCCATCAAACTCTACATGATGAAACTATTAAGTTAAACAAATTAAAATTAACTCTACAAAGAAGTGAATATTTTATTTGCCTAGGAATTAGCATATAAGTATTTCCTTTAAATTTTAATCTCATTAATAAGACTGAAGGTCCTGTAATAGGTTTTAGAAATGATTTGTGCTAAATATAAGGTTATGTTGTATGTAAATTATTTATGGCTTAGATTTATTCTGTCACTTATCTACATGTGTATACACCATGTCTATGATGTTAAGTAGCCTGCATGTTGGCACATTTACTTAAAGAGCTACGGAGATGGAGGAGCAAAGATAGAATGGCACTCAGTCTATGCTTCCAAGAGTAAAAAATTCCATTATAATAAAGCTGAGACTTTCCTAGAATGCCAGGTTATTGTTATCTGCAAAGAATGTAAATCATTAATCCCACCTGTTCTCTTTCTCTCCCAATTCTACTTGAGCAAATTTTTTGCATAAATTAAAATGGCATATTAATCTATTAATTAGTCTCAAGAAATGAAGTCTGTGTTGACATAATTCCACAATTTTTAAAGATAGTACTACATCAATAGACACTGAATTCGATGAAGATATGTGAATTTTAATGTATATTAAAATTCCTTAAGAAATTGGGCTTGACCTTCCAGCTGTACTAGAGAAAGATAGCCATACAGTGTTAACTGTAGAAGAAATTGATGAAAGCACTTGCTGTTATTTGTGAACTTTGCTGAATAGGTTTACACTCAGCACCATGCATAACATTTAAATAGATTAATAGTGCTATTTGAGATCAGAGTTATTTAGCATTACTGTAAATACTCTGCTTTAAATGTCAAGGATCCTGTGGGTATGTAGAGGTATGAGAGAGACTTAAGAGTCAGGCTAAGGGTCAGAGAGAGGACATATATCTTTTTTACATACTGATAATCTACCTCTTACACTCTGCTCTCCCTGTGTACCACTTGCTGAGGTTCACAAAAAAGTGTCTCCACATTTCTGTACCTCTGCTCTACTCTTTTCTATTTTACTGCACCTTTAATTCCCATAATTACTTTCTTTGTAACATTCTTAAGACAAATTTCCTTTTTGAATGAGATCAATCACATACTTTCTACTCAGATGCTAAAAAAATACTAGATTGACTCTCAATTCATTTAGGGTATGTAGAAATCACCTTATAAAATGAGATTATATTTGGGGGGTTATAATACTACCCCTATGATAAACTGAATACAACAAAATCATATAGAATTCATAGTAATAGGTAAACACACATGTTAAAAATTAGGGAAAAAAGCAATAGATGTTTCTCTTATTTCAAACACCCTTAATCATTTTTCCTGAACACCCACTCTGCTATAATCTGGATGACATAAAAGACATAAGCTTATGATACTTAAGAATGATTATAAACTATTTTAGATGTGATAATTATAGTTATATTAAGAAAAAAGGTCCCATTTTTACAGGTAGATACTGAAGCATTATAGATGAAATGATATGGGGACTAGATTTGTTTTAGATTTAATGGAGTCAAGGGCAATGGAATATATATTGAAAAAACAAAATTGTCCATCTCTTAATAATTGTTTAATCGGACTGATGCACATATGAGTTTATTATACTATTCTCGGTTATTTACCATAATAAAAATTAGAAAATAAAAAAGAAAAGAAGCAATAGAACTAATTTATGAGTGATGTGACCCCCTGGCAGTACTCCCTGGGAATCTATTTATCATCTGAAAGACTAGATATTCCTAAGAGCCGTTTAAGCCTGCCATTGTAAGTTTAAGTAGGGGTGATCAAAATTTACAAGGTGGAAAAGTCCTGAGAACACAGAGGCATCTGGGATACGGTAGCACCACTCGGATGTGATCTCGTCAGCCAGTTAAGAAGAAGAGTGACAGCAGAAAGTAAGAAGCATTTGAGTTACAGTTTAAACAAGAACAAAATGGATTTTAAGAAAAGTAAGACATCTGAAGAGAAGACATAGATTGGACCTTGTGTCTAGTGTCCCAACATAGCAAATCAATGCCTTGGTGAGAAAGGATTAATAAATACCTCTAAGTAGATCTTCGTGTATCTAAACTGTTTGCTTAGAAATAACTTTAGGATCTCTATATGTTTTGTGTCACTTAACTAATTTCAATTTCATTTTCTGCACATTATAAATATAATGATATTTTCTGCTAGGAAACATATAGCTAATTAGTCTAATAAACCAGAATCTGTATCTAGGCATTTGTAACTGCATTATACTAACTCTCACTTGTATTTTTCAAAGATTACCTAATATTTTTCAAATGTTTAGGTCAGAATCACATACTTTTAGACATACAAGGAAACTTTGGTATCACCTGCTCTAATCCTATAACTTTATGGATATGGAAAATGAGGTGCAGAGAAATTAATTGATTTGAATCAAACCAAATATGAAGTCAGGGCAGAACTGGGGCTCTGACCCATTTTTTGATTCATCATATCTGTTTCTGTTTCCACTGTACCAGTGTCTTTTTTTATCTCCCCTCCCCACAAAAAGGGAAGAAAAGTGGGGGAAAAAATGTATTGTTCTTTCTTAAAATACAATTTCACATATATTTACAGCAATCCCATGAGAAATGTAAACCCTGGGCCTTGATGATTACTTACAAGACTGTTTTAATCAAAAGAGAAATCCATGACAACATCAATCATTTAAAAGAACTATACAGATGCAGTTCAATTATAAGTAAATATTTCCAAAAAATGGAAATTTTGTCTATTACCTGTGAGATGTATATATTCCTGCTGGGAGCTGACCTACTCCACCTGCCTGATGGCACAGCCCAGGAAGCCGGTGGATGGCTGCGGCACAGTGGGCCTCCAGAGGGGAAGCTACTGATATCTCTTCTATTGCTTAATCTGACCGTTCCCCCAATCCAAACAGCCCTCACGAATCAGAAAAAGCCCCTAGAGAAAGGACTGTTATGAGCCGTAAAGCAATCATAAAACTCAGCTTGTGACCCTGCACATTCCCCTCAGGCTGGTGGGTTATTATCCCTGGGTTGGAAAATAGAAGAAAGTTCAGGTGACTTCAGGGTACAACTCCCTGGCCAGCTTGGCCCCCAGGAAAAACAAGAGGTGACTCACATGAGTGTGGGTCAGGAAAACAGGTGGAAAAATCTTGGTAAGAGTTCCCTTAAAAATCATTACTAGAAATTACGGTAAGCATTGTTATAGTCAGCACACTGAGTGCTGCTCATTCTACTGTAAATGGTTTCAAGGAACTATAGAAAAAACATACATCACAATGAGCCTAGCTGAGAGACCAGTTAAACAAGTTTTAAGACACATTTAGAAGACATTGTGTTGCCTTGTAGAAATTTAACCTGAGATTAGAATCTAAAGGTATGAGAGCTACAGGAAAATTTTGAAGAAGAAAACATGGTGACCTCTCATGGTTGGGAAAGCAGGGGAACATTCCGAGAAGTAGATTGTGCCATAAATCACTGAATGACATACACCTTATGATGATTTTATGATGATTTCATGTAACCAATCGCCTATATATTGAGGTTTCTGTCAATAAACAGGCCAGGCTCAGCTTTTGCTAGTGTCTGTCCTCATTCATTTGGTCAGTTGCCGATGCCTTTCCTCCTTCAGGGACTCCTGGACTTGCTGGAGCTGGACTCCAGCATATTCCTTTTTATGCCTTCAGGTTTTCTGGTATTGGACATTTGTTAGATCATCCTTTTTGTGATAAAAGCTAATTTCATGCTCAGCATGGGATCTCATTGAAAGTATTGAGTATAACTGTATTATTGTAGTGAAAGTATGATTTCTAATATAAACAACAGTATGTATACTCTAATCTAGTTCAAATGTTAAATTAAATGATGGCAAAATTTTATTCTAGATAAACTATGGTATGTCTGGAAAGAAATGACCTAGGTATTGTAAGATAAATTCCAATAAATTCCAACCAAAATAAGCAGGTGAAGAGAGGCAACAAAGGGACAGGCAGTTTATTTGAACGCAATCCCCAGGTGATGTTCCACGGTCTGAAACACAGGCCAGGGCAGTCACACACAGAAGGGCAGGCAGCAAACTTTTAAAGAAGGCAGGGGGAGGGAGAGCAAAGGTGTACAGTGGCGTGAGGATTGGCTCATCTAGGGTACCTTGGGGTCTCTCATTGGCCTTTAGCCAGGTACTGGAAAGTTACCACTAATCTTTTAGCTTGGGGGAAGGGCTCTAGTTGGGAGTGTTATCCGATCAGGCTCTGGAATGTTGTCAGACCAGAACCTGCTGGTCTTTTCACCTCGTTTGGTGAGGCCTGAGCTTGTCCATCAGGCTCACCCCTTCTCCTGATGCTTCCAGCCTTACATTTCAGCCTTTTGGTCATAATGGGTGATAACTCTATCTGGCTACTTCTGGCGGACAAGGGGCATCGTTGGGGGGGTTAAGGCTGGTTGACAGCCGGAGAAGCCTCAGTCGAGAGGGGTGAGTACTTGTGCAGCAACAGTTGATTAACTTTTATGTGTGAAAATTCTGCCATGTGCTGTTAAGGAACTTGAAAACACATGGGGCAATTAAGTGTAAACCACAAACTGTTTTTAAGGGGCCTAGCAGAGGCATTAGCCAGGCCATTTTGGGAGACTGAAGCCACCCATAAGGGCCACCTTCAGGTATTCATGTTTTGTGGAGGTCTTTTTGTAGTTCTTGTAGATTTTTTTACATTTTGTTTTACGACCCCAGACTCATTGATATAGTAGCACCATTCTTCCTGCAAGAAAACACAGGTTACAACCTTTTCTGCGATAAGCAGATCTAAGGCCTACAGATTTTGAAGGGTGACCTGGGCAAGGGTAGTAAGTTGTCGCTGGAGGGAAATAAGGGAGGTCAAGGTTTCTCTCAAGGTTAGGCTGACTCTATCATCTAATGCCGCCAATTGACTTGCTAGACTCTGAGAGATGACTAAGCTATGCCCTAATGCTCCTGCCCCTGTGGCGGCCATGGCCACTGCAGTAACTAGGCTCACTCCCACTAGCACAGGTAGAAAAACCACCCTCTTCTGTCTAGTATTTTGATATATAGACCATTCATCTAGCGCCTGTCTTACCTCAGGTTTGCTGTACAATGTTAGCTGGGGCACCAGCATCACTGAAAAGCAGGGTCCTACCATGGTGCTGTTGATGCATTGGGTAAGCATATTATTGCACCAGAAGAACCCGCCCCCTTGAAGGGAGATTGGAGTGTCTACGGTTACCCGTTGTCAGCATTGGCTTCCCATTGACAATTCTGAGATGGTGGAATGCTGGGTCAGGTAGCAGGTCAGTGGGGACGATGGTTATTCGTGCCGTTTTCTGGTGGCCCCAGACCTATGTCGAGCTTCGGGCTTAAGGCTCATTTTCCACATCAGTACCTCACTTAAAGGGAGGCCACAGTCTTTTCCAGAGTTTACTGGTTGAGCCTAGAAAAAACTAATGGGAACTGCCGCCACCGGGGGGCATTGGAGGGAGGCGCAGAGGAAACAATCAGACACATTGCTGAGGATATGTGAAGCATTAAGAAACTGCACTGTTTCTCTAATGACTCCAGCCCAGGAAAGTGGTACTCCTGCTGGTCATAGAGAGTAGGGGTAGGGGTCCGACTGAATCTTCTGTTTTAGTGCCTGTTCTGTTTTTAGAATATTACTTGATACCTGTGCCTGGGTGTTTAGAACTTCCGTGAGAGTGGGATTTACAGTGGTCCATTCCCTCTTGATGTATACTGTGCCCTGTGGGGACCATTGGTAACTATCATATAGCTTGCCCTGTACTCCTTTTTCCCAGCATGGATCCCATATGTCACTAATGGTAATGTATAACTTATCTCATATTCTGAAGAACATGTTGTCAGAGACACCTCTTGCTGTTTTTTCTACTGCATGAACTCTACATGTGTCTAATTCAGGATGACATCCCCCATACATGTCAGACTGGAAAACATATGTATGAGAGATTTGGTCATACAGAAAGCACAGCATAGAGTTTGAGAAAATGTTTAAGATGTCTTGTGTACCAGTATTTGAATCAGTGCCTGACAACCTACACGTGGGCAACTTTGGGTGCCTACTTCTCAGTTGATTCCATAAAGAGTTAGTTGGAGCTCAAACTTCCATGCAGAATAACTCTGCCTGGAGACCATAGGGCTATTCATCTGGCTCATTGTACTTGACATGACTAACCTGCAGCTTAAGAGGACCCACCTCACAAGAGACCCATTCATCATGTCTGTGTAGCCATTTGAGTCTAGAAAGATGATTCCAGGAGGAGTGCCCATGTAGTTTGGCTACTGAGGGTGTAGTGGGGATTAATGTGTAAGGCCCTGTCCAGCGGGTTTGGAGAGATTTTGGCTGGAGTACTCTTAGGAGTACCTCACCTCTTGGCTGAAGGATCACTATGTCTCCTGGGTTGCTGGATGACGTAGGTTGGGGTAGGAGTTGGTCTGCATGTTCCCTAAGAAGATGTCTCAACAGTGTAAAGTAAGGAAGGTAGGAGGCCAAAGGTAGCGGGCAGGCCTGTGTTTAGTAAGAAGGGCCTGCCATACATCAGCTCAAATGCGCTTAGTCCAGCTGGTCCCTGGGGGGCAGCACACAGCCGAGTGAGAGTGATGGGGAGAAGATGGGGTCACGAGAGCTTTACCTCTAGAGACAGCTTAGTTATTTGGTCTTTTAAGAGACCGTTAGCCCTTTTGACCTTACCCGATGATTGGGGGTGGTAGGGTATATGGAGGTTCCAGGTGCTATTGAGAGCCTCGGCTGTTAGCTGAGTGACCCGAGAGATGAAAGCAGGCCCATTGTCTGACTGTAGCGAGGCAGGCAGGACAAAGCAGGGGATGATATGTCCCATCAATGTCTGTGTCACTACCAAAGCTGTCTCTTGGCTGGTGGGGAAGGCTTCAATCCACCCTGAAAAGGTATCAACCAGAACTAGTAAATACCTGTGCTTTTTATGTTTAAGCAGTGGGTGAAATCGACCTGCCAGTCCTGTCCGGGGATGGTTCCTCTCATCTGGTGGAGGGCCATCCGGATCTTCAGAGCACCTTGAGATGAGACATGATGACAAGTAGTGCAGGCTTGGTGCACCTGATCTATGGCCTTGCAGAGACCATAAGGGGCAAATATGGGGGAGAGAGACCGGTGCATGGCATCCAGCCCAATGTGTAGAAACTGATGAATTTTAGATATGACATCTCTGCCTTGGGCTTGGGGGAGGGCAATTCATCCTCCAAGATATATCCATCCCTTATCTCCCAACGTCCCCCCTTGATGTAGAAGCAGTCACCATTCATCATCAGGATATTGGGGCAATAGAGAGGGGGAAAGAAACAGCACAGAGGGTTAACCCAGATGTTAATTTTCAGGCCGTGGTATCTGCCAACTCATTACCTCTGGTTACTGGATTGTTTCTAGTCTAATGTCCCTTACAATGCACGATGGCCACTTCTTTGGGGCCTTAAAGGGCCTGTAGCAGGCAGCTGATAGCCCTACCATTGATGATCGGGGTTCCCTTAGTGGTAAGGAAGCCCCTTTCTTTCCAAATTGCAGCATGAGTGTGTGTAATTAGGAAGGCATATTTAGAGTCAGTATAAATTGTGGCCCTCTTCCCAGCTGCCAGGTGTAATGCCCAGGTAAGAGCTACTAATTTGGCTTTCTGGGATGTGGTCCTAGATGGGAGTAGGTTTGCTTCTATCACGTGTGACAGAGTCACCACTGCATAGGCTGCCCTTTGCACCTCATCACTCCCCTTCCCCGAGCTTCCATCCACAAAAAAGTCAAGTCAGGGTCTTCGAGGGGCACATCCTGTAGGCCCTCTCTAAGTTTCCTAAGAGCTTCTACAACTTCTACACAGGAATGAGTGGGCTGATCTGCCTGATCGCTGACGGGAAGCAAGGAGGCTAGGTTAAGCGGTGGAGAGACTTGTAGGGTTATCTGTGGATGTTCAATGAACAGAAGATGGAATTCTTGTACCCTTGAAGGACTCA